ACAGAGATGGGAGGGGCCAGAACAGGAGGCACAGACCTATTGTACATGTTTTTAGTGGTAGGGTAAACCGGAGCACCAGGAGGAAACCTACGCAGACACAGGGAGAACATGCAAACTCCACTCAGAAAAGCCCTGTTCCGACTAGGATTCAAACACAGGACCTTCTTGCTGAGAGGCGAGAGTGCTAGCCACTGTAGTACACTGGGTCAGCAGCACCAGACCGAGAAAACCCAAACATCTCAGGTCCACACATTTTATGGTTAACTTTTTAAACCCGTTGCTTTTACACTGAGGAATGTCTAATAATGTTATGTTTGGACTGTTTTTGATATTTTTTGTGTATTACAGTCATTTATTTTTGTTCATAGTAGTTTAAAATCATGTTTTTGTCCCTTTGAGAGCAAGACAAAAGACAAAGTACCACTGATATTACTGGATATATTTAATAATGTGGTAATTGTGATGAAAGCAGCCTGTTTGTTGTGCTGCAGAAGACAGACTTGTGTGTGTCTTGTGTGTGTGTCTTGTGTGTGTCCTCTGAGGTCACATCCGGATCTGGACTCTCTTTTGTTCCCGGGCCCTGAGCAGGACTACATTAGTATTCTGCTCCTTCTCTGTCCCGGCTCAGAGAATGTTCAGCTCAGGTTTAGACTGAGCCATGTTTAACCGGTCGCACTGAAACGAAATGAAATGAAAAAACTGCACTGTAAAAAGTCATGAAAAATTCCATTCAGCTTACTTATTACTTACTGAAAAGATCTTGTTTTTAAAATATACAGAAATGTCTCACTTAGAATAAAAAAAAAATCACTGGATTCAAGCATTTATGACCTCATATTTGATCATTTTTTGCAGTGTAAATTCATCTGAAATAAGGTTTAATTTTTGTGCGAGAAACTTCTGTGTATTTTTGTATCGCCCTAAATCGATTATTTAGTTTTTCAGAATCTGTTCATGTTGTGACACATTTTGCTAAATTTAAACAATTTTTTGCAGTGTTTTTATATTGTTATTGTGATATTTCTCACAGCAGCAGCAGCAGCAGCAGTAGCAGCAGCAGCAGGAGTAGCAGCAGTAGTAGTAGCAGTAGTAGCAGTAGCAGCAGTAGAGACACGTGTTGCAGAGGACTGTGCCAGTTGACCTCGCAGACGTTGGCTGTTTGTGAAGCATGTGTGGTTTGTGTGTGGGGGGGGGGGACAGGGGGGGTAGCGGGAGGGACTACCACTTCCTGTCTTCACCTGTCAGTCAACCAAACCCCACCCTTCCAGTTGCCTTGCCGACATGTTTTGTATTTATTGAATGTGGACGTAGTAATTAACAGATGTTTGTCTGGTCACAGCTTAGCCCTCACTAATTAAGTGCTAATTAAGTGCTAATTAACGGCTAATTAAGTGCTAATTAAGTGCTAATTAAGTGCTAATTAACGGCTAATTAAGTGCTAATTAAGTGCTAATTAACGGCTAATTAAGTGCTAATTAAGTGCTAATTAGGACAAAGGATGCAATTTAGCTTGTGTGCTAATTCCAGCATATTTGTATTGACGCTGTTTGCAGACACACTGATTAATATGTACTGTAATAAATTTAAATAAATAAATACAATAAAATTTTCTATTTAAATAAACAAGACTTTCTTACTTACTTACTTGTATTTACAAGTATTTCTATTTATAATTTGTCTGCTCAAAATGGAGCGGGAAAGACTCCGACCCCATCGATATAATTCAAATAAATGCAAGACTTTAATAATTTAGAGTCTTCAGACGACGCTGTGCTTCAGTTTAAAAACAGTCGTGTTGAACAGAGGAACTCGAGTTTCCTTCTGTCATTTCCTCTGCAGGTGCAGGAAAACACACAACGCAGCACAAAAACACACAACACAACGCAACACAAAAACACACAACGCAGCACAAAAAGACACAACACAGCAAAAAAACACACAACGCAACACAAAAACACACAACACAACGCAACACAAAAATACACAATCATAGTGACCACAAGTCATGACCCGAGGAGGGGTGTGTTTTCACACCCCCTTCAGTTTGTGGTCCATGGTCTATGAACCACCTCCTCCACCTCCACCACAGCCCTCCACCTCCTCCACCTCCTCCACCTCCACCACAGCCCTCCACCTCCACCACCTCCTCCACCTCCACCACAGCCCTCCACCTCCACCACCTCCACCACAGCCCTCCACCTCCTCCACCTCCACCACAGCCCTCTACCTCCTCCACCTCCACCACAGCCCTCCACCTCCTCCACCTCCACCACAGCCCTCCACCTCCTCTACCTCCACCACAGCCCTCTACCTCCTCCACCTCCACCACAGCCCTCCACCTCCTCCACCTCCACCACAGCCCTCCACCTCCACCATAGCCCTCCACCTCCTCCACCTCCACCACAGCCCTCCACCTCCTCTACCTCCACCACAGCTCTCCACCTCCTCCACACCTCTCCACCTCCACCACAGCCCTCCACCTCCTCTACCTCCACCACAGCCCTCCACCTCCTCCACCTCCACCACAGCCCTCCACCTCCTCCACCTCCTCCACCTCCACCACAGCCCTCCACCTCCTCTACCTCCACCACAGCCCTCCACCTCCTCCACCTCCTCCACCTCCACCACAGCCCTCCACCTCCTCTACCTCCACCACAGCCCTCCACCTCCTCCACCTCCACCACAGCCCTCCACCTCCTCCACTTCCACCACAGCCCTCCACCTCCTCCACCTCCACCACAGCCCTCCACCTCCTCCACCTCCACCACAGCCCTCCACCACCTCCACGACAGCCCTCCACCTCCACCACAGCCCTCCACCTCCTCCACCTCCACCACAGCCCTCCACCTCCTCCACTTCCACCACAGCCCTCCACCTCCTCCACCTCCACCACAGCCCTCCACCTCCTCCACCTCCACCACAGCCCTCCACCTCCACGACAGCCCTCCACCACAGCCCTCCACCTCCTCCACCTCCACCAAACCCGCTCCACCTCCTCCACTTCCACCACAGCCCTCCACCTCCTCCACCTCCACCACAGCCCTCCACCTCCTCCACCTCCACCACAGCCCTCCACCTCCTCTACCTCCACCACAGCCCTCTACCTCCTCCACCTCCACCACAGCCCTCCACCTCCTCCACCTCCACCACAGCCCTCCACCTCCTCTACCTCCACCACAGCCCTCCACCTCCACCATAGCCCTCCACCTCCTCCACCTCCACCACAGCCCTCCACCTCCTCCACCTCCACCACAGCCCTCCACCTCCTCCACCTCCACCACAGCCCTCCACCTCCTCTACCTCCACCACAGCCCTCTACCTCCTCCACCTCCACCACAGCCCTCCACCTCCACCACAGCCCTCCACCTCCACCATAGCCCTCCACCTCCTCCACCTCCACCACAGCCCTCCACCTCCTCTACCTCCACCACAGCCCTCCACCTCCTCCACCTCCTCCACCTCCACCACAGCCCTCCACCTCCTCTACCTCCACCACAGCCCTCCACCTCCTCCACCTCCACCACAGCCCTCCACCTCCTCCACTTCCACCACAGCCCTCCACCTCCTCCACCTCCACCACAGCCCTCCACCACCTCCACGACAGCCATCCACCTCCACCACAGCCCTCCTCCACCTCCACCACAGCCCTCCACCTCCTCCACTTCCACCACAGCCCTCCACCTCCACCACAGCCCTCCACCTCCTCCACCTCCACCACAGCCCTCCACCTCCACGACAGCCCTCCACCACAGCCCTCCACCTCCTCCACCTCCACCAAACCGCTCCCACCTCCTCCACTTCCACCACAGCCCTCCACCTCCTCCACCTCCACCACAGCCCTCCACCTCCTCTACCTCCACCACACAGCCCTCCACCTCCACCATAGCCCTCCACCTCCTCCACCTCCACCACAGCCCTCCACCTCCTCTACCTCCACTACAGCCCTCCACCTCCTCCACCTCCACCACAGCCCTCCACCTCCTCTACCTCCACCACAGCCCTCCACCTCCTCCACCTCCACCACAGCCCTCCACCTCCTCCACTTCCACCACAGCCCTCCACCTCCTCCACCTCCACCACAGCCCTCCACCTCCTCCACCTCCACCACAGCCCTCCACCACCTCCACGACAGCCCTCCACCTCCACCACAGCCCTCCACCTCCTCCACCTCCACCACAGCCCTCCACCTCCTCCACTTCCACCACAGCCCTCCACCTCCTCCACCTCCACCACAGCCCTCCACCTCCTCCACCTCCACCACAGCCCTCCACCTCCTCCACCTCCACGACAGCCCTCCACCTCCACCACAGCCCTCCACCTCCTCCACCTCCACCAAAACCCGCTCCACCTCCTCCACTTCCACCACAGCCCTCCACCTCCTCCACCTCCACCACAGCCCTCCACCTCCACCACAGCCCTCCACCTCCTCCACCTCCTCCACCTGCTCCACCTCCACCACAGCCCTCCACCTCCTCCACCTCCACCACAGCCCTCCACCTCCTCCACCTCCACCACAGCCCTCCACCTGCTCCACCTCCACCACAGCCCTCCACCTCCTCCACCTCCACCACAGCCCTCCACCTCCTCCACCTCCACCACAGCCCTCCACCTCCACCACAGCCCTCCACCTCCTCTACCTCCACCACAGCCCTCCACCTCCTCTACCTCCACCACAGCCCTCCACCTCCTCTACCTCCACCACAGCCCTCCACCTCCACCACAGCCCTCCACCTCCTCTACCTCCACCACAGCCCTCCACCACCTCCACCTCCACCACAGCCCTCCACCTCCTGCACCTCCACCACAGCCCTCCACCTCCTCCACCTCCACCACAGCCCTCCACCTCCTCCACCTCCACGACAGCCCTCCACCTCCTCCACCTCCACCACAGCCCTCCACCTCCTCCACTTCCACCACAGCCCTCCACCTCCTCTACCTCCACCACAGCCCTCCACCTCCTCCACTTCCACCACAGCCCTCCACCTCCTCTACCTCCACCACAGCCCTCCACCTCCTCCACCTCCACCACAGCCCTCCACCTCCTCCACTTCCACCACAGCCCTCCACCTCCTCTACCTCCACCACAGCCCTCCACCTCCTCCACTTCCACCACAGCCCTCCACCTCCTCTACCTCCACCACAGCCCTCCACCTCCTCCACCTCCACCACAGCCCTCCACCTCCTCCACCTCCACCACAGCCCTCCACCTCCACCACAGCCCTCCACCTCCTCCACCTCCACCACAGCCCTCCACCTCCTCCACCTCCACCACAGCCCTCCACCTCCTCCACCTCCACCACAGCCCTCCACCTCCTCTACCTCCACCACAGCCCTCCACCTCCACCACAGCCCTCCACCTCCTCCACCTCCACCACAGCCCTCCACCTCCTCCACCTCCACCACAGCCCTCCACCTCCTCTACCTCCACCACAGCCCTCCACCTCCTCCACCTCCACCACAGCCCTCCACCTCCTCCACCTCCACCACAGCCCTCCACCTCCTCTACCTCCACCACAGCCCTCCACGTCCTCCACCACCACCACAGCCCTCCACCTCCTCCACCTCCACCACAGCCCTCCACCTCCTCTACCTCCACCACAGCCCTCCACCACAGCCCTCCACCTCCTCCACCTCCACCACAGCCCTCCACCTCCTCTACCTCCACCACAGCCCTCCACCTCCTCCACCACAGCCCTCCACCTTCTACCTCCACCACAGCCCTCCACCTCCTCCACCTCCACCACAGCCCTCCACCTCCTGTACCTCCACCACAGCCCTCCTCCACCTCCACCACAGCCCTCCACCTCTTCTACCTCCACCACAGCCCTCCACCTCCTCTACCTCCACCACAGCCCTCCACGTCCTCCACCACCACCACAGCCCTCCACCTCCTCCACCTCCACCACAGCCCTCCACCTCCTCTACCTCCACCACAGCCCTCCACCTCCTCCACCTCCACCACAGCCCTCCACCTCCTCCACCTCCACCACAGCCCTCCACCTTCTGTACCTCCACCACAGCCCTCCTCCACCTCCACCACAGCCGTCCACCTCCTCCACCTCCACCACAGCCCTCCACCTCCTCTACCTCCACCACAGCCCTCCACCTCCTCTACCCCCACCACAGCCCTCCACCTCCACCACAGCCCTCCACCTCCTCTACCTCCACCACAGCCCTCCACCTCCTCCACCTCCACCTCCTCTACCTCCACCACAGCCCTCCACCTCCTCCACCTCCACCACAGCCCTCCACCTCCTCTACCTCCACCACAGCCCTCCACCTCCTCTACCTCCACCACAGCTCTCCACCTCCTCTACCTCCACCACAGCCCTCCACCTCCTCTACCTCCACCACAGCCCTCCACCTCCTCTACCTCCACCACAGCCCTCCACCTCCTCTACCTCCACCACAGCCCTCCACCTCCTCTACCTCCACCACAGCCCTCCACCGCCTCCACCTCCACCACAGCCCTCCACCTCCTCTACCTCCACCACAGCCCTCCATATCCTCCACCTCCACCACAGCCCTCCACCTCCTCTACCTCCACCACAGCCCTCCACCTCCTCCACCTCCACCACAGCCCTCCACCTCCCATACCTCCACCACAGCCCTCCACCTCCACCACAGCCCTCCATATCCTCCACCTCCACCACAGCCCTCCACCTCCTCTACCTCCACCACAGCCCTCCACCTCCACCACAACCCTCCACCTCCTCTACCTCCACCACAGCCCTCCACCTCCTCCACGTCTACCACAGCCCTCCACCTCCTCCACCTCCACCACAGCCCTCCACCTCCTCCACCTCCACCACAGCCCTCCACCTTCTCTACCTCCACCACAGCCCTCCACCTCCTCCACCTCCACCACAGCCCTCCACCGCCTCTACCTCCACCACAGTCCTCCACCTCCTCTACCTCCACCACAGCCCTCCACCTCCACCACAGCCCTCCACCTCCTCTACCTCCACCACAGCCCTCCACCTCCTCTACCTCCACCACAGCCCTCCACCTCCTCCACCTCCACCACAGCCCTCCACCTTCTCTACCTCCACCACAGCCCTCCACCTCCTCCACCTCCACCACAGCCCTCCATCTCCTCCACCTCCACCACAGCCCTCCACCTCCTCTACCTCCACCACGGCCCTCCACCTCCTCCACCTCCACCACAGCCCTCCACCTCCTCCACCTCCACCACAGCCCTCCACCTCCACCACAGCCCTCCACCTCCTCTACCTCCACCACAGCCTTCCACCTCCACCACAGCCCTCCACCTCCTCTACCTCCACCACAGCCCTCCACCTCCTCCACCTCCACCACAGCCCTCCACCTCCTCTACCTCCACCACAGCCCTCCACCTCCTCCACCTCCACCACAGCCCTCCACCTCCTCTACCTCCACCACAGCCCTCCACCTCCTCCACCTCCACCACAGCCCTCCACCTCCACCACAACCCTCCGCCTTCACCTCCACCTTTATCTGCAGCCGAGAGCCCTCACATGA